AACTCAGGCAGGCGATTCAGAACCGGAGAAGAGGGATGTTGAGCAAGGGCGTAAGCATTCTCCACGATAACGCTCGCCCCCATGCTGCCCGACAAACGGTCACTCAACTGCAACAGTTTGGATGGAACATCATCACCCATCCACCCTATAGTCCGGACTTGGCGCCCAGTGACTACCATCTCTTTCCAAAGTTGAAAGAACATTTGTCTGGAAAGCGCTTCAACAACGACGATGAGGTGAAAGCTGAGGTTCGAAGTTTCCTGAACAGCATGGAGGTGAACTGGTATGACATGGGCATACAAAAACTGCCACTGCGCCTACAAAAATGCATCGACTGAAATGGCGATTATGTAGTGTTACGGCTCAAATTTGAGATTGGAAAGTGGAAGGCATTACCCAAAATGTTCGCGACTTGCGAAAAGCGTTTCGCAGTTATTACAGTAATTTGTAAACACCTGGGCAGGCAAATAGGTTAAGAATGTTGATGCTCAGCAAGTATGTGGACTCGCAGAGCAAGAAGCTTGCCTCACTTGGTCACTAGAGTAATCGTAATAGACCGCATACGCAGCAATAAGACGCGAGGGGTCCGCCCACAACCACCCATGAGAACCAATTAGAATGTTACTATGAGGATTGAGGACGCCTAGTAGGAGTACCTACCCTCTGTCGTCAACGCTGAATCAGCGAATTAAAACTATAAATTACGGAATTTCGGGGGACTTGGAATCATGTTCTAACACATAATATTCAGTTGTCAGCCGGAGGCTCTCGGCGACATGTATACCACAAGAGGGTGGATGACGGCAGTAATCTACATGTGTATTGCAAGTAAGTCTCTTTGCTCATATACGCCATGCTGTTAGATGTTATTAGTGATAAAAGTGTTATTGTGAGATCTCTAGGCAGTCTCCAGTGTACCAAGTGAGAGCCAGGGTAGAAATGAACGGAGAGTGGCAGACGATGGTAGGAGTACAGTTTCAAGGCACCTCCCCTCCACCACAAGGAAGGTAGAATGGGCTTAGCGCGCAGTGTCATGTAAGCAGATCAAAGCAGGCCCTTTTTCTTAATGTAATTAGTAATGTAAATAGACAGTGTACATAGTTGAAAATGTACGCAGGTAGTTCTGATTCACCCGTTCGTAACCATCCTGTCCTCGACCGATCCCGAGCGACCCTAATCAAGACAGCCGACGGCAGCCGAGTGCAGCGAAGATGTTAGAAAAAGAGTAACAACCGACTAAAGTAATTATATTTTCTCACCCCCCTCCCCCTGAGGTGTAACATGTAGAGAGATGAGTACATGTTCAAGATTCAGCTGATGTATCCAAAATTGAAAATGAATGTTTATTTTATATTTTCAAACATAGGAGACCTTACTTTTGGAATTACCCTCATATCTGTGTAACTTTATGAAGCATAATCCTTCCTGTGAAATTGAAAGTCACACAGCAGGGGAAAACACCTCATCTTTTACGGAACTCAAAGGCTGATTACTGTGTTCAAAAGAACCATTCAGCAGACCTTATCAGGAGCTAGAAGAATCCAGTATACACTCTTATCACCTCATTCCTTGAGTTCTATCTTAATGGCATCCTCCCAACTATCCACACATCTCCCAAGTGGTCCCTTCCCTTCAGAAATTCTTTCCAAAAATTTGCATGCACTTCTCAGTTCTCCCATGTGTGCTACATAATGAGATTAGGCAGAAAAATAATGGTATCAATACTGTCATCATTGCTTTCAATCAGAACAAAATATTTTTCACAAAAGAACTCCAATAATTACTTATTTGATAATTACAAGCAAAGTTACTGCTGGGCTCATTCAACACTACATAACATCAACAGCTGAAACAGTATCATGTCAAGAAGACATAAGAAGGGCTGAAAGGTAAAGCTCCACAGACTATTAACCACAGTTTTAAATAAAGCTGAGTGATTAGCCTCACGCTCCAGCTATCTTTAAGCCCCTGCAAAGGGGAAATCCACAGAGTAATTTTCCAGGAGACTGGTTAGGCTCAAGAACTGTTATGGATATAGTGAAGAGAAAATCCCAATAAATGTCAGGAATCAAGTTATCAGGCATTTGGTCACTTGACTGAACTGCCACACCTCCTCCACTTGTCTACATATTTCCAGCTTCAAATTTCACTCCCATTCTAATCAGCTGCACCTTAGACAACCAACCAACCAACCAACCAACCAACCGCAAGCAATTGCAAGGATACTACAAGGACTCGTTTAAAGAATTTCCTGAGCACAGGTTCAAACAGAGTCACTGTCTGGGTGGAATCATAAAATGACAATATCAAGTCCACGTAACAAATATTAACTCCGCAACAGAGCATTTAAATTCTGTCTAATTTCAAGCTTTATGTCAGATCCTGTTTTATAAACCTTTATTTATGCAAGAGATATTAAAAGAAATGAAGGCTTCTGCTACTTGCAATAAATATCTGTCTGAAGGGGTACGAGCGATTTCCAATAAGAGAAATGCAAGCTAAAGTAATGGGGTTCCAATCTTGTGTTCTATCAAAAAAGGAATCAAAGAAAAGGTCTGAACAAGAAATTACACTACAAAAGTATAAGAGAATCTTACCAGGATTTGAACCCAGAATGCAAGTGATAATTACCATATAGAAGTACAGTAAGCCCTTACAAATGTATCATATACTGCATGTAAGTCTTAGGCTATTTCAAACTGAGTAATGTTGAGAAGGCTATTTTGAAAGGAGACAAAATCAATAATACATACTAAAAACATAAACCTACATCTTCTTATGGACAAAACTGGATGGGAAGGGAAGTGATGGGATCTTATGGCCAGCACACCTACAGGTTATGAATCTGTAAAAAACAAAACAAATAAATTAATACACTAAAAAAGAAGCACACAATCTTTCAGCAGAACTCTACACTAACCAATGATTACCTTAATGCTGCAACCTCTTGGTTCTCAGACCACTTACATAATAAAAATGTCTTTTCACTATACATTTCCTTCTGAGGCTGAATATATTTATAAACGAATACCATGCCAGTAAATACATATATAATTAAGCCTAAAAGTAAACTAATGACACTCTGGAAAGCATGTGCTTCTTTTGTGGTGCTGTGATGTCAATGAGCATGGTTGACTAACCTGGCCTGTCCCTCCACTGTGTTATCTGCTGAGTCTCCAGTCTTGGGCGATGTATCTGTTGGTTTCAATGTCTGCTGGAGATTGCCAATAATGAAGTTGCCTGCCTGAAAGCCTGGAGGGCCATTGACAATCAAATATTGTGGTTGTTGCTGCTGGGAGTTCTTGCTTGCCACACCATCCTGACCTGCTGTTGATGTGGGTATGAAGGTTGAACCTGATCCCATAAAAGGAACAAGTAACACGCCTGGAGGATTCTGAAGACCTCCAGGAACTCCGCTGCTCACAAGATAAGCTGATGGTTGTGGTAAAACAGGACTCCCAGTAGTCACAAAATTTGTGAGAGGAGCTGAGCCCTGCACTAGACTGACAGTCTGTCCACCATTGGCAGAAGCTGAACATGGCATAAGGACTTGTGGCTGTCCAATAAGGCCTTGGGTGGCACCAAGAACAGTGGTAGCACGGCCAGTTGCGTTTGTGAGAACCAAACTAGATGAGAGTGCTACAGGCGCCTTATCTCCCAAAGGAGAAGCATCACCTACTTGCATAGAGGATTTTGAAGTGGGTGTTGTGGCTGTAGCAGCCATGGCTGGAGATACAGACAGAACATTATGTTTTGGAACAACAATATACTTTTTACTACCCACTCGAGCAAGGGATTGAACATTGGTAGGGGTTGGAGGAGATGTCAAGGGGTCACTTATGGTACTTGTTGAAGAGACAGAGCTACTGAGTGATGGTGAAACAGCACTTGAAGAAGTTTTGGCAACTCCAGTGGAACTCAACTGAATGGTGGATGATGGTGGAAGCCATGTGGTAACAGAGCCCACAATAGTGCCCTTGTTTGCAGCAGTCCCTTTCTGCCCTTGCTGAGGAGCAAGGACAGATTCACGGCTTCTAGGCACTTTAACAAAACGAGGGACAGTGATGAGTTTGCCAGACTCACCCATGCGTGGCAAACGCTGTAGCTTTGGGGGAGAGGAAGATGGCGTGGGAGACTGGCCTGAAGTAGTGTCACTTGGACTAGCCTTACTTCCTGCCCCAAGAGCACTGATCGGGGTTAGTGGTGGAGGAGCAGTTGAAGTAGCCAGTTTGGAGCTTGATGTATTAGCCAGCTTCACAGCAGATGCTGGTTTTCCATCTTTCGCATCCTGCTGACAATTCTGTTAAAAGAAAACAGCAGAGCTGTCAAACAATCAGGTGACAGTAAAATATGCATATATCAATGAACTCAAATTATGTATACATACCAAATATACCGAACACTAAATAATACCTAACAAATTAAAATATAATGGTACAGAAGCAAATTAAATACAGGCTGAAAAATTTACATAGATAAGTAATCTATGGAACATTTCAAACACCTTCATGACAATCACAAGACCTAAATTTTTAGCTATTTCCTGTTTTGTGTAATGACTGTTCAGAGCATGGTCCTGAAAGTGAGTAAGTACTGAAATAATTTTACAGTGGCTATACAATAATTTATTTATGTAATATGCCTGACATGCTGTCACATCCATGTTATTTCTGTATACATGTGCTTAACAGTCTCTTTCATTTCTACATAAATTCCTATTCTTGTTTGTATAAAATGAATACTGACGCTTTCATTAAAATTTTCTGGAAGAAAACTTCCATCTCATGTAGACTTCTGACTAGACTAACTTTCAGGAAGTACTATAACCTGAGAAGCCTCTATAATAAAACATCTGGTAAGACAAAAATATATTCAACAATTGGAAACTAAGTAAGAAGCACATGTTTCCACAGATACTGCAGAACATCAGTGTAGAAATGCTGATTCACAGTTCCATCAATGTTGAAGAATTATGCCACAAATGATCTGTGTCTTCAGCAGAAGTCACTTCAATTTCAGACTTCAAAAAAAGACACTCAAATATCTGAGTTCTGCCATTTCCTATTCTATAGTAAATTTCAACATTATTGCCAAAGCAGTTTTGAATACTTTCAAACTAACCTTTATGAGAAAAAGCTGTTCTTTATAGTTTCTTGCTTTTTTTTAGAAAAGAATTTCATGTATCAGTATACACAACCTTATTCATTTCTGAATGACGTAACATGGTTTCAAAATTAAGTGCAAAGGATACAGGTTCCTGAATTCTATAATAACTTAGCAGAAGAACTCTGCACAAAGCACGGCAGCATCACTCTGCAACTAGTACAGAAGTTCCTTCNCCCTCAATTATAAATTGAAGAACAATTCAGGTTCCTCCAAAACCATAATTACTTTGTTTCTTACTTTTATATAGACTACTGAATATCGCTTTAGAACAAAGACTGGCACTAACCTTACACACGTAGCTATGGATGGTCTCAGAGATAGTACCCAGTCCCACACATTCAGGATGATACAAACATAAACAGACTCGGCACTGGAGCGATGGAATAAGGCCCATAACTCCTACACAGCGTATTGAGCAGGGCTCATTGTTGGACTTCTTTCTGCTGCCACTCCTCCAAAGTGTGCGGTGGCGAAGACAGCAAGGGTAAGGCCAGGGTCAGAGAGGACAGAGGTAAGTGTGGAAAATACAGCCTTATCATCATGTCAATATTTTGTGTATACCTACATACAAACGCCACCTGGATAGGATTCTCCTACAAGAATTTCTCATTTGACTACTCAAAGAATGACTTGTGATCGCCATATCACAATTTTTATTTTGCTTACATGGGTTCTGCTCTGTAATTGTTGTCACTGTGCTAAAATACGTAATGCTGAAAAACATTTCAGATTTTTAAATACCAACAGAAAATTCTTACAGTTTCCCAATTTCATACTGATAAAAAAAACACACACACACACATAAACTTCAGTTTAACACTTACTAATAATTAGTAACAGCCCATGCAGGCATGGTGACATATAAGGTTCTCAAGGATCAGTACACAGAGCTGATCTTCAACTGTCTCATTTGTGTCCATGTTTAGAGGGAATATGGATGTCATTTGAAAAAATATAATTCTGCAGTCATTTCCAAATGCCTGCCTGCTAAAAATATAAAGATACACCTGCACATAAGCATCACAACCCTGATGATGTATAGGGGAAATGTAAAGCTCCGTGCATTTTACATCTAGACAGTAGATAGGGTGAGTGGTCACAATCACTTATCATGATGTTCAAACAGTGCAATTACAAAATAAAACTACACTATTATGAAATGATGCATCTTGGTATAAGAAAACCATAAATAACTTCTCTGTGATGTAGTCATTTTCAACTTTAAAATTTTCTTTTCTGTAATAAATTACCAAAACTCAAAGCAGTATGTCCCTTTCCCCTGGAAAGTATAATTTTCCCTCCATCGAATCTTAGCAAGCTCTCGTACAAAATATGCAGTTAGTTTCACAATGTCACCATGTGAAACATCATGTGTCTAATTATAATACTGACAATTAGGTGTTTAAATCAAACAAAAGAAAATAAAGCACGTTCCAGGGAGCTGACAAGTTCTTTTCTGCCTTCCACGAAGATTTGCCCATTTTTTTATGCTTTCCACCATTCACAAATATGACCCTTGTTAAAATCAGAGAATTATATATTATAAATGCAGGGTATCACCTAACGACATGACATTCACACCTAGTCTCAAAACAACGAGTGAATAAGGACCATAAAATTAATGGTCAGAGATTAACCTTTTGACGTGGTCATTTAAATTCCGCGGCCGCGGCTCCTGCGGTAATATATTCAGCCGGCCATTTAAATTTTGCTCGAAAATTATTTATTCATCATTGTTCTTAAAATCTATGAGATAGGAACATGAAACTTTCACTAAAATGATCTTAAAAGGTGGTTTTATAACCTTACCTTATAATATGAACCCCCTTTATATCTTCAATGGAAGCATGTTATTTAGTATTTGAGCAGAGAATGGTACGCCTTGAAGGATGAAACTTTCACTAAAATGATCTTAAAAGTTGGTTTTATAACCTTGCCTTATAATATGAGCACCCGGTATCTCGGCTATGTAAGCAGGTGACGCCTTGAAGCATTAGTCTAAACACAGAGCTGGCTCTCGAAACGACCACCAAGGTCAGTACGATAAAATGGCGTCAACTGGAGCGATAATGAGTACTTTTCCCTCCCCCACACACATCCGTATCGTCTCAGGGGGTGACCACAGTGTTCTGCCTTAAATTGTGGCGTATTTCTAAGAAATGGGTGCTATGTACTGTGCGAAAGCAATCGATTTTACGAGAATAACATTTTGGACAACCCTCTTCTAAGAATTCCAATGGAATGTGTTTGTGTGGCCAGCTCAGGGCAATATGATATTATATACAACAGCACACATCACCTCTCTGGTGTTTATTACTTCACAAGCAAAGCAAATACGCCATTGAGTGACGAAACCGCTACAAGAAGCAACACGAATTTGCTGCAAGACAGGCATATGTAACGACGACTTATCTCAGCTAAACTCGTTGGCTTAGTATACTCTGTTCTTGTGACAACAGGCCAGCGAAAAATCTAACAATCTACAGCAAAACCATCAATTATTATGGGCGTTATAACATAGGTGTGCAGCTGGACGAACCATACACGACGAACCCCCCCAGACGATTTAAATCCCTGACGAAACAGACACGACGAACCACGGCAACGGGTTAACTGAGGGATGGAAAGACAACAAAAGTTCTACCAGCAGAATATTAAAATCTGCATATTATTTAGTACCAAATGCAGACATTTGAAAGATGACCATCAGAAATCATGGCTGCTATCACTATTTCTTCCTTTGAATTTCACTGCAAAAAATCTCAAGTTTTGTTCCTGTATCTTTACAATGAACAAACTCCAAGAAATACAGTCCTTGAGATGATGATACCTCTCATGTGTTAAAAAATTCTGTACCATTTATGAAGGCCCCAGCTTCATTATTGTGTTCACAAGATTCAACCACTAGCCCCTAGCCTAAGCCACAGTAAGGCCGTGCCATAGCTCAAGTGGTTGGCTGCTGGCTTCCCACCGCGGCGGACCAGGTTCGATCCCAGGTCTGGCCAAGTGGTATTTGTGGTGGACAAAGTGGCACTGGGGCAGGTTTTCTCCAAGTACTTTGGTGTCCCCTGCCAATCTTCATTCCACCAATTGCTCCACAGTCACCCTCACCTATCATCTAGGGCTGGTACAATAGGCCAGAAGTGGCCACAGTACAAGGGACTTAGTCCCACCCCA